GCGAGACAGTAACGGAATTTTTTTCATTTGCCGAACTTCAGCTGTCAGTGCATGCGCATGTGCCTTTGTCCATCGTTGACTCATGCCTTCGGAAAGTGGGTCCTTGGTCACCTGCATCTAGTCAGTGAACTGATGCAGTTTCACTGGCTACGTTTCGCAAGACAAGTGTTTCGCATGAGAAAACTCGGTAACCGAAGTTCCACTGTTATGTGCCAGCGTTTTTATCCACCAGATTGTTTTGCCTTGCAGATTATTGTATCTCAAACAGTCGTTGCTATATGTGTGTCAGCAAGCGGTTTGTTGTTTAGGGCCAAAAAGGAGGGTATTATTCAAATTCGGACGGTTTAGTTTAGTGTCCACATACACAACGGTCACGGGGCATGCAACTTCCTTGTACTGGTGAAAGGGATCCCCAAGAAAAGTTGGCCTTTAAAGGCGCAAAGCAGAAGAGATATAAATATGAGGTGCTTCAAAGCTGGAGTCGGGTATGCCTGGCTGTTGACGACTAATAAACCAAAAAAGCCGCAATATGCTTCGTTATTTCTGTCGATAGCGTAATCATGCATACAGTTCTGTTTGCCCACGACGACTGTATACTAAACCATAAGGCAAAACGAAAAAAGCAAGTTGTTTAACTCGATCGGTGAAAGCAAGTAGGTAGGGCTGAAATAGCAGTTGTTTTGGACTTCGGCGAACCCTACCATATAAGCCAGTTAACTTCCGTGCTAACTGTTTCGTCTAGAGACAAAACGACGACTGATTTCCAGACCAAAACAAAAACAGGAAAGCGAGGATACCAGCCCAGGTGACAAGCAATGCGCACAGACCGAAGCCCCTACCAGTCAGTTTGCCCCGTCCTGTTTCCTATTCCTGACTAAGATAACCATCCATTACAAGAGCACGAGGCCCTTGTTTACTTTGCACAACTGCCTACTTATTTCCCAAAAGTAAGCACGTTTTAAAGAAGTCGAAGACGCGATCTCTGGAACGATATTTTTATTCTGAGCTTTCGGCTCCACA